AACGCCGCGGGACATAACCTACCTACCGGCCCGGCGAATTCGCCGTCGGCCGATGTGGCCGTATCTTATCGGTGATACACTGTTCTTCGTTAATCGTGCTTCTTCCCGCCGCTCGTTATCGGCTTAATTTCGACGCGGCTGATAATAATGCGGACACACCGAGCGAATATTGAATTTCCGCGCGCGCTCCCGTCCGATTGCCCGCGTTGGTTTAATTTTCCATGCCGCCGCGAAGCGCCGGCGATACTCCGCGTCGTGAACGGACGTGCTGCGTTGCAATAAAATATCGCCGGTAACACGTTGGGCGCGGTCGCTTAATTGATATGATTTTAATTCGTCGGGCGCGCGAATTAATGTGATTTTACCTCGCCCGCCGCGTTTCCCTCGAGAACCGCCCATTCCTGCCCGCTTCCCGATTCGACCTTCGAAGGAGCGAAGGAGATCCGTTGAGGGGAACACACGCTCGTGTGATTTATCCGCGAGCATTATCCGCGAGACTTATTCCGTCTATTAAGTTACGTTTATTTAATGGAATCTTGCGTGGGGTCGCGCAGGCTGAGATAAATAACGCGCAGAGCGCAGGACGCAGACAGGAAAGAGTAGCGGTGTGTTTTTAGATCCTTCGGCGTCCGTCTGGCGGGCGAAACTGCTGTTATTCCGCAGCTCTCTCTCTCTCTCTCTCTCTCTCTTTCTCTCTTTCTCTCTTTTTCTCCCATTCCCTCGCGCTTGCGAATATCGGTCGTGCGCGCAAAGCAAATTTGCGGCGCCGCCGAAACTTTTTTTCACCCCCCTCCCTTCTCGGCGGGGAGATACGTTTGAAGATCGGGCGATCGGGGTCGCGGGACGACATTCACATCGCCCTGGCATGGAATTGCAAACAAAGTTAACGAATCGAGTGTGGCGGAGCCGTTCGTGCCAAGTCCGCTCCGAGAGTCCGCTGAATTAGAGAGCGATCTGTTCTCCTTCCTGCTGTTATTCGACATCAGCGAGAAATATTTTGCGCATACGGCAAAGCGAGAGCGAGCGAGCGGTGTGGAAAATCCTCGAGATGTATCGTGCGAATTTTAATAAATAATATCGTCATCATCATCATCACACGGGGTAATGCATACACAATAGAAGGAAATGCCGCGTCCGAGGATATTTTGGTTACATTGAAAATTAACACGCCTTGTTAATTCGCTATTTTCAGCGTTTTATTTAGACTCTCCTGCGAGCTGTTATTTATCTTTTTTCTGAAAGGCAAATATTTCAGCAAAAATGAATGACTCGATTTACTATTTAATTCGATCGCGATCGTTGCGGAGAATAATTTTGTTTTCTTTTTTAAGTTCGATGCGTCGTCTGCTAACGAGACACAAGTTTTCTAGCGATCGTTGTAGAAAATATTTTTTTGTTTTTTTTTCTTTTTTTTTTTCGTTAAGTTCAATACGTCGCCTGCTAACGAGATGCAAGTTTTCTCGTGATCGTTGTGGAAAATATTTTTTTTTGTTTTTTTTTTAAATTCGATACGTCGCCTGCTAACGAGACACAAGTTTCCTCGCGGTTAGTCAGTCATTCATTAAGAGAGTGCTGCAACGTCGAAAGATCACGTACGTACACATCTGTACATACACACCGAAAATGTGTTTTATCGCTTTGTTTCTTAACGTCGTATTACATTTGTTCTCACCCAACTCCCTACCTACCTATCTACATACCTACGGGCTACCTTAATTTTTGAAAAATGAATTTATTAGACCGTGCGCGCGCGGGCACTCTATTTCCGCAAAAATGAGATGTATTCTGCAACGCGAGCGAAGTTAGTTACCCGCGTTCAGAGTTGCAGTACATTATACCTGACATACTGCAAGAATTTATGATACATCTTTCCACAGCGTATCTCTATCGTTTTTTTTTTTTACGTCAGCGAAAATATGTCCGTTCTACATTACACTTTCTACCCCCTTTTCTGCTATTTCTCCCTCTCTCTTTGTCCTTCCCCTTTGTCTCTCTTTAGAAATTGAACGCATCAAATAGGGAATCAATGAAACCACGCGTCATTAGAGATCGCGAAAAGTGCTCTTACGAATTTCTCGCGCAGCTTCCGAACGAACAACTTTACAACGCCGATCCTCGCTTCCTTCTAGCTGCGACCAGATGCCGCGTGTTACTGCTAAGATTTGCATTAATTTTTTGTGTCTCTCTGCTCTCTGCACTCTGCTTTTGCTTCGTCGAGCGCTTCTACAGGACGACATGCTTTGGAAATGAAAACGACCCATCGCTCTAATTGATCGTTTGATCGACCAAGAAAACAAGTCCCAAGTTAATTAAATCGCTAAACGCTCTAATCAGTCGCTCTCAATAGACTTATCTATAATCGCTATGCGCTTTGCACACGGACGGAAAAACGGTACTCACCGAGTCACGCCCACGCGAAGACGAGCAAGAACGATTTCAATTCGCTTCCGCCGACATCCCCTCCGCGACGCCGCGCGGTAATTTGTCCGTATCTGTTTGACTTCGCTCGAGACTGCAGTCGTAATTATTATTGCAGATAGAAAGCGCTGCAATTTCGGTCCAAGTGTATTTGCACGGCGCGCGGGCGCTTACGCGCTCGCGCGAAGTACAGCTCGTCGCCTCCGACGTACAAACACAATTAACGACCGGAGCGTGTGCGAGCGGGCGGGCGGGCGGGGGACGGGCGCGCGCGCGCGCGAAGCGCCAAGCCTCGAATTTACTTTACGGAACCTGTTGCGGAGGTCCTTGAGTTTTGCCTTATTCGCCGTCATTTTCTCGAGCCACGTCGCCAGCTTCTGTCAGCCTCGCCGGCGCGCCGGTAACGTCTGATGACTACGACAAGGACGTCGTCGTCGTCGTCGTCGTCGTCGTCGTCGCCGCCGCCGCCGCCGCCGCTGCCGCCACGCGACGATTACACGACGCGCTCGTAATTAAACTCCGCGCGATCGGGAGCCGCCATTTCGGCTTAATCGTTGAGGTGAGATATTATAATGAATCGCGGAGTATTCGCAGGTAGCGTCGAACTTTGATAACTATGTAGCAGCCCGATGTAGCGCGTTATTCTGAAGTGATAATCCCGTCAATAGATTTACGTCTCATTTCACGACGGTGGTGAGACGTACCTCTCGTTGGCAGTAGAGCAAATTTCATTTGATAGGACAAGCTGAAGAAAGAGAGAGAGAGAGAGAGAGAGAGAGAGAGAGAGAGAGAGACATCTTTACCAATAAGAAACGATATCGACATATCCTGAAATATGTTTCTTCATAAAAATGTTTTACTGTCATGCATCGGCGAGCTTTTTTAGTCTGCTCTTTTCGCCTTTGAGTTTGTCGAATTTTGTGACAAGGATAGATGAATTTATAGAAGCCGTAAATAAATGTCTCTGCGCGATCTGATTCCGAGGTAGTGCCAACACCTCGTGAATTAACGTCGACAAATAAATCTCGACAGACAAGAGTGGTAATTTACGTACACGTATACGCGCCGCGATGTTTCTTACAATCGTACTTTAGCTTTGCCGGATTTATCATACAAGGCATGAAAATGTCACGAAGCGCAACGACATTATTAAACGCGAAAGGCAGTTTTTCTTTCGCGTTTGTAAATACTGCCGCAGTGCTCGTCGAACCGCGAGTTGCATGCGCGCGCTGTTAATTTTGCAAAGTTATTTCTGCGAGCCACGCGCGACGCGGCAGCGCGTTTTATTAATCATCTCTGCGCCGGTGAAAAATTGAATTTTTAACGCTGCAATCCGACAAAAAGCGTACGTTGCGATCCTGAAATTTTCACCGGAAGCCGCGCAAAGCGACAACACGTTCGTGTATCACATTTTCCCCAACCGGTACAAAATTGACGTATTTATGGCTAATTCTCCGCGTTAGTGTTCTTTTCAGCAGTTTAATCTTCCCATATATATTAACTTCATTCCGGTTTATAATTACGCTGCGTTCTTTCTACGACAGTTTTGCGTGAAACATAAAATTCTTAAACAATTTTTTCTTCCCAACATTTTATAAATACTTTTCTCCCTCCCCCTCCTCCCTCTCTTTCTCTCTCGTTCTCCCTTTCTCTTTTTAAAATTTATATTCATGAAGAGGAGAAATTAGTTATGTATACGCGAAATAAATAAATGAATGCGCCAGATGTAAATTCGTGTGAATTTTCAGGACTACGTAGCTGCGAGTGTTCCATTCATTATATATAAACTTTCCATCTTTTTTAAATTATGTCTCAGCTAAAATTTTTCGACGGCAGGTATCGATGGGATTATAATTTACCCATCGCGGGCTTCGAGATTATTTCCTAGTTGCATGAAATTTCAGTGTGTCTGTATGCGATTTGTCGCATATAGACACACTGAAATCCGATTTATTTTCTCTCATCCGTAAAACACTACCGGAGCAACGAAGAAATAATTAACGTCGGCTAACGAGACGCGATTAATGCCAGCGAATATACACAAGTTCGCGTGCATCGTCGCATCGGAGTCGTCGCCGTCGCGTCTGCCGTCATTCGATTAGCGCTAAATACAATTTATCGGCAAACTTAAAAGGTGAAAACTGAAGATCGTAGCTTAGAGCAGGCCGAGTTAAATGAGTTTACGAAGTTGCGAATTAAATAACAACTTTAACGAGGTTGCAGCCAGTCTTTAACGCCTAGCTAAACCATCCCTATATCCCACCCCACCCTCTTTGCCTCTCTATCTGCACCCCCGGATCGGCCGGAGAAACGAAATTCTCCCCTGCCGCTTTCCCCTTCTTTCCTTTTACTCCTCGCTACCCCCTTCCGCTTTTTTTCCTTTTCGCACGGAGAACAACGTTTCTCCTTCCATTGATCAATGGAGCGGTGGCGCGGGCGGAATGAAAAACAAAGCGTAGGCTCGCACGCAGCGCGTCGCAGTCGCGCGTGTATTTTTAACAACCGTCCGCGAATTACGCATCTCTCTAACGACGCGACGCGCGCATATGGAGTTTCATTCGCCCCTGTATTATTGCTTGCAGTTTGCCGCGGCATCCAGCAGTTCGAGGACGAGCCGCAGTACACCGAGGTCAATCCCGGCCAAGACGCGAAGCTGGTGTGTCGAGTCCTTGGGAAGAGGGGACAATGCATTTGGCAGAAGGATCAAAAGGTAAACGGTTGCTACTTATTCGGAAGAGGTTCGGTGCTTTTCGAGCAGGGCGACGCGAGAAACATATCGAGCCGGTCGAAAAATCCGTTTCACTTCGCCGTCCTCGACGATAAATCAATAATCAGTCATCTTCGACGACGGGATAATCCCTTTGCACTCCGAACGCAACGCGTCGAATTGTCCTTTAAGAAGGAGCCTCGAGAGACCAGAAGAGCGGGAGACTGGCTGAAAAAGTCGAAGCGAACTTCTCGACTGACCCGGAAGCTGCACGATGAGGGAGACCGGTTCTCCATTGTTATCTATCAGCCGCCGCGAGACGCGGCTGCCGCATCCTTATTTATCAAAAGATCGCAATAACCGCAGAGAGCTCGTCGAGTTCGCGTTCTCGTTAGCAGTCGAGGACGAAAAACAGCGCGGCCCGAGTTCACGAGAGCAGCTAACAGAGCGGCCGAAAATTTAGCTCGCCGTTTATACTTCACAGGAAATAGCGAGGCGCGCGAGAAACGATCTTACGTGCCGCCGCGTTCCTGCGCTCGCGTGAAATTGCAACTCTCCCTTGTCTCGTCATTCGCATACGAATCCGCAGCGTTCGTGAGCGAGTCGTGAAAATGGAATGAGCTCGAATCGATATAGGAGGCAGCGGCCGCGCGTATATTTTTGCGTGGATTGCAACGCGAAAGGCTGTTCTCCAGCGGAACAACCGGAACCTCGCTACGCACAGGAGCGGCGAATTAACGCGCTCGCGCTAGGTGCGATTGTGAAAATGGAAAAATTGAAAACACAACGAACAACATCCGAGCCTGGCAGAAGGAGCCGCGACTCGGTTGCACACGCGCACATGTTGTGTGTGTGTGTGTGTGTGTGTGTGCTGTATCGTAACTCAGGGTATTTCATCGCTCCCGCTCCTCTAAGCCCGCGGCGATCGACTTTTCCCTGTTCGCCGTACGAGCGCGCGTAAACTTTCAGATAAGTTTGTCCTGGCCGGAAGTGGACGTTACAGGACGCTCGACGATAAACGTTCGCTCGTTCGTCCGTTCGCTCGCCTCGTCGTGGGAGGTCCAAAGAGAAGAGGAAACCCAGCCGCGCGTCTGAAACTTCCGCGGAACTCCGCGACATTGTTCGCCGACTAAGTTTCAAACCGGCGTGGCGCAGATAATTTTCGTCCACCCTATTGTCCATTGTTATTGTCGTTTATTCTTGCTTAACGATTTCTTCTCTCGCGGTCGGTTCGCGCGGGTGGCCAGCACCGGCTCTGGCAAACGGAAGCGCGGAGAGTACTTCGAGAGACTTGTGCGATCGAACCGTCTACTGAAAAACAGTCGAGCAAGGACGTAATCTACAAGTTTTATAAATAGAGTCGACTCGTGGAAACGACTCGAAAAATCGAGGACCTCGCTCTCCGTTAAACCCGTCAAACGAGGGACTACGAGGAAGAGCCCTTCTGGAGAAAGTCGGAGACGAGGATGATGGAATCCATAATTTGTCAGAGAATCCATAATTCCTCAATGCTGACGTCAATGATCGCTCTTGACTGGAATTTCCACGGACGATCGAACTCCTCACGGTCAGCATCGCTCCCGCGGTCCTACGATAGTCGCAAGTTTCACCATCAACAAATTGTCGTATTGCCTCGCTCATGGAGGAGGAGGATGAATTTCAGTCGCGCCACTTAAACGCGCAGCAGTCAAGCACGCAGCCCTTGTAACAAAACTGGGTTAATACGATACCTTCTATTGAAGAAGCGTTTCCTCGCTGCTTCCGTAGCTAACGTCCAAATAGTACAAGTATCGCCGAGAACATAGCATCGCGATGAGAGGATTAGCGCGAATTATTCACTTAAGAGTAACGGAATACTCTGAATTTTCCTTCTCGCGCTCGCGCGCCGCCTAAAGTTTACTTATGCTCGCGCCAAGACGTATATTACGCCCGCAAGCTCCGGTTCCGTTCGATCTTCGCGCGCGAAGCTATTCGCGGAAGAGAACGACGCGCCGTACGGAAGGTAAGATAGATAGATCGGCGGCGGGGAGAGGGGGGGAGAGAGAGAGAGAGAGAGAGAGAGCGGGAGAGAGAAGGGCGGAGACCGTTAAACTCGGCGTATATCGTTAATTCGTAGCCTCCCTCCGCCATTGCGATTTATAGGGATACATAGTTTATTGCGACGTCGCGGCCCCATAAAGTCACAAAGGGGACGATTTACGCGCGCGGCCCTTCGTTCGCTTGATCAGCCGGAATTTGGCGGCAACGCGTTTTCTCGCATGATAAATTCGCGAACGCGCGCGCGCGATAGCGCTCGGCGATATTTCACCGCGGCGGCCCTCGCGAGAACGCGAGAGAGTACGCCGACGACGAGAGAGTTCGTACGTCGCGTACTCTCGCGCGTGCGGTTGGGTTAACATTTCAACGGAACCGCCGCCGACTAAACGGCTGTCGACCTTCACGACGAACGAACGAGTGAACGAATGAACGGCTTGCTTGCGTTTGCGTCGAGTCTCTCCTCGGTCGGCTGTGGTCACATCGCCCGGCACGCTGCATCGGGCGACCTGAATTATTACGGCGGCGATTTGTACGCGAACACGTACGTACCAGCGCCGCGCGATACGGCACGGTCTATAGACGGCCGTAATAGAGAATAACACGCTGTACGGGTCGCGATGTATCCACGTTAGCGGTCGCGTAAATCCGCGATACATTTCCTTCCTTCCGGGGCCGAGGGTGCAGCCATCGACTTGTATCGATATACCCTCCCCTCTCTGCCGCATCGTTTCTATTTGTAGGTATCGTGAACGTGGATGAATCTTTCCGATGCGCGCCACGTACGTCGAACTCGCTGGATATATATGTGTGTGTGTGTGTGTGTGTGTGTGTGTGTGTGTGTGTGTGTGTGTATTTGTATATATATATATATATTTGTCCGTCTGGCGCCTGATTGAAGATGAGACGGCCCGGAAGCCGTGGAAACAGGGGATGATGCGTGCAGCATCATCCCCCGCTGCCGGGGAGGAAGCCACCGGTGGCAGGGCCCCGCGCGCACGCGGGTGTGAGCGCGTCTAGTTACTACTACTCGAGAGGAAAAAACGCAAGGGGGTAGGAGGGATCGGGCCTTGATTGGCATGCTCGCGGCATTTTATGCAAAGCCTCGGGAGCTCCGGTATCGCCGCGCGATGTTTTCCCGACTCTAATCGCGCGCGCCGGGATAAAGTCGAATCCTAAAAATTGGACTGTCTCTCGCTTTTTATTTCGCTATTTGTAAACCGAGGAGAATATATGCAAAGGAGGAATTTGCTGAGGGGGTATGAGAGACAGAGGGAGAGGGAGGAGGAGAGAGAGATGGAAGGAAAGGGAGAGAGAGAGAGAGAGAGGCTGCTCTCTTCAGCGAGACTCGACGTTTGGACAAAGTTTGGTACAATTTTTGCGAGATGTGCGAACGAAAGCGGGAAGTGCACATATAATATCTTCAGTATACTTCCTCCCCCCTCCCCTGTCCTCCTCCTTTGATCGCTGCTTCGTGAGGTTTTCTGACGGATTAGTATCTCACAACGCGAGCGTCCATTCCAGGAGATCGCAGTATGTCCTCGGCGAATCAGGTGTGATAGTTTAAACAAGCGATAACCTTATTAAAGCGTTAGCGCGTCTCAACGTTAATCGGCCGGCTGCGCCGTGAAATCTCGTCAATCTTCCCTGCAAAGCTCCCTTCAGCCAGCGAACGACTCGCACATCCAGCGTGTCACGTACATCCCTTACGCATGCGGGTGTCGGCGCCTTGTCGGTGGACGTTAATCTCATCCAAGTTAAGAGTTTCTGCCGCGAGAAGTGCAACCGAGTACGAAGTAGTAGTCCGTTCGCCTCGCGCCAAGATTTAACGTAGCGTGATCTTATTACGGTAAGTCTAAAGCTAAACGCAGCTTTCATGGCTTTCTTCCGGTGGTTTTTCCCTCCTCTTTCTTTACCTCCCCCCCTCTTTTTCTCTCTCTCTCTCTCTCTCTCGCTCGCTTTCTTAGCCACCCTTCTTTCACGTCTTCCTCGCGAAAACGGTCATAAGTTTCGAATGAGCTAGCGCGACGTTTATGCAGCGTATAAAGTCGGTAAAGGTAGGAGAGAAAGGAAGAAAGGAAGGAAGGAAGGAAGGAAGGAAGGAAGGAAAGAAAGAAGGAAGAAAAAGAGAGAAAAGCCCGACAGACGAGTTTCGAAGGGACAACGGCACACCGCCGTGGACAGACTGCGAAGTGTGCTCTAAATTGAAGTCGTTACGACGCCTCGAAGGAAAAAGGAAACGAAATTCGCGCCGCTGGCGGATGAAAGACCGCGGCGAGCCGCGAAAAAAGAGAGGACAGAAGAAGAAGAAGAAGAAGAAGAAGAAGAAGAGAAAGCAGTCGCACACGACGGAGAATAGTAGCCAAAACAGTAAGGTGGGAAAATCCGCGACGTAGCTCGTGAAGACGACACGCGAGTTGTAACAAGCTCCCTTCGATTGGAGTATTCAGTTGCGCCGCAGTTCTTCGCAATTAGGCGTCATCCATCGCACCACAATGACGACCATTTAATTTGTATTTTATCCTGAGGAACGGTCGGAAGCACGACAGGCATTAAATTGACGCTGAGGACTGAATAACAAATCACAGAGATTTTCCAGCGGACATGTTCTCTCCAACCAGGAAGAGGGAGAGGGAGAGGGAGAGGGAGAGAGGGAGAGGGAGAGAGGGAGAGAGAGAGAGAGAGAGAGAGAGAGGGAGAGAGGGAGAAGAAGAAGAGCGGCATTGGCAATATTTTATTCTATAGATTCCAATAAATTTTCACTGATGTTTCTTATCACGAATCCCCTTTTTCCCTCCTTTGAATAGAATAATCATAGAGTTTTCATGTCATGAATACGCTTTGCTTGTCTCGGGAAGTCGGCTGATTATTTTCATTTGACGGTAATTGCTCAACAAATTCCCCCGTGACTATTATTAACCGCGTTTTGATTACGAGAGGCAAAAACAAAAGAAATAAATGAAAAGAAC